TTTTTTCGGACTGAAGTGTAAATGAGAAGTGAAGGAGAGAAAGTAACTATCAACGATTCCTTCAAGCACCTTGGTCAGGAGGGAAAGGATCTTGCTTTCTTTGACATTCCACAATTGTTATAGTCTAGACCAATGTTTCTCAAACTTGCCTGCATAGTGGAATTATTAAGGAAGCTTTAAAAAAAATACTAATGCCTGGGACCCTCATTTAGAGATTTCCATTTAGTAGATCTAGCCTATAGCCTGGACTCCCTAAAGTGATTTGAATGCTAAGTCAAGATTCCATTTTCTTTCATCTTCTCCCCTGAGTAGAAGTTAAGATCCTTATCAGTACTAACTTCATCTGTATGTGTGACATGCACTGGGCACAAAGTAGGCACTCAAGAAATAGTTGCTGATTAATGGATACAGACTTTTCTGGGAGATGCAGAGCACATCCTCTTGGTTAGAGAGGTTAAGTCAGTTCTCCCTAGTTTAGGCAGTGGTCCAGGTTCAGAGAGGACCATCCAGGAATGAGGGAGCACCCTGGTCTGTGGCTCCAAAGGGACACTGTGTAGCTTACGTCACCTTTCAAAATGGAAGTCACATACTGGTCAGTCTATGGTTTATCTTCCTAGGATGCAAAATAGCTAAGACAAAATCTCTCTGCATTCAGTATCCTCACTAAAAGTCCAAAGGGAGGAAATCTCAGTTAAACTAATGGAGTATCAGTTTCAGTTACTGAAATTATTTCAGTGATGACACCTGGAGTTGGCCAGTGACAGAACTCATCTAATTTGAAGCAGGAAGACAAAGTAAACCATATTTTGTGCTTACAAATGTTTACAACATAATAGGTACAGACTTACCAAAGCCATGTCAATTGGGTATTAGCAGCCTCATTTCTAGAGATTAGGAAGCTGAGGTTCAGATAGACTAGGCAACTTGCCATAATCACAGAGATGGCAACATGAGAAAAGATCTGAACTCTTGTCTATTTGACCTCAAAACCTACACTCTTTCCACAGCATCAAAATGTGACCATGAATCATATGAGGGATGGCAAAGTGCCTTCATACCAAACCTTCCTATTAGATCCTTGGAAGATTTCTATGTTGTCAGTAAGTCAGTAGGAGAAGACAGTCATTGACATGCGGGATGCTGACATGTGGCATTTTACTTAGTATTCAGTGGTGTCTGTCAAGCACTTAGAACACAAATTAAGTTGTGGTCTTTCTGGAATAGTTAGTGGAAAGATAGAAGGGTGAGGTTCTTCGGTGGCTTTCAAATGCTTTCAACACGCAACCAATTTTATGAGCATAAAATCCACATCAGCTACATTACTTCTTGTTCTTACAGGAATTCACTCTGAGGAAACTGTACCAGGGTATCCAAGGCCCAAATGGGGCTCTTAGGCCAGGGTGTTGCCAGCGATTTCTTAGGCCAATCACTGCCCCTCTCCTGAGGCTTCAATTTTCTCAAGAGAGAAAAAAAGAGGACATTTAACAGACACTTTATTGGTCTGATATAAGCTATGGATCCTTTCCCCCAGTGATGTACACGCATGATTTGAATGACAGTTCTGGTTGTTTATAGCTCTCCCAACAGACTTCATAGCCCTCCAAAGAATATACTGAGCCATGGCTGAAAACACTTGCTGGAATATGTGGTAATGGGATTGTAGTCATGTTTACAAAAGAGCCCTTATCTTTTAGAGCTGCGACTTGAAATGATTTGATGTGGGATTTTCTTTGTGTGGGGAGGGGTGGTGATGGTGGGAATAACAGATGAAACGAGTTCTTCCATGATCTGCCCATTGGGGAAGCCAAGTGATTTGGTATGTGATGGTTCTTTACATTGTTTTCTCTACTTCTGTGTATGTTGAAAATTTCCATAGAAATAAAATTAATTTACACAATAAACATTATCCATAATTTTAAAAATTATCCAGAATAGATGACCTCTCGTGCTTCCGATTCTAATATTCCATGATCTAGCATTCTAAGGAATTTGCAAAAAATGCAGGCTTCTGGAAACATGTGATGTTCCCAGGGCAGTCAATCAGCATCAGTCTTCTTCCACTGGGGCCTCTGGACTAAAGGGTTTATTGCAGCTCCATTTTCCAGATGACTCTGTGATTTCCCATTTAAAAATTTCCATAGAAATAAAATAAATTTACACAATAAACATTATCCATAATTTTCCGTAAGGATATTTCTGGGGAAGGGTGGCGAAACAAAATGTAAAGAAGATGGACAAAAATTGGTCTTTAATCTTTTCGCAGGATAACGTGGCTCAACTGGTTTTCAAAGATTTTTAAGATGAAAAGACCAACAACTGCTGTCGGGAATGACGTTTAGAGGCCTGCAAACTAATTTGTTAGGATGTCAGGTGAACCAGGAGGATGTAAAGCAGCCTGCAAGCAGTTGAGAGATTGCCCTTCAGAACCACGCCCCCTGGGCCCCTGTTTTGCCTGTGTCACTCAACTCACTCACCTAGCTTTCCTGAGCTTCTGCCTTGCCATCCATTAAATGGAAATAACACGCAGTCTCCCTCATGAGGCGCCTGTGAAAGGCCAAACTGTGTCTAACAAATAGCAAGCATTCAGTGAATGCTCACCTTAGTTCTGCTAAATACGTAAAGCTAGAAACAGATTTTTTAAAAGCTGTACAATTACAGATTAACATGTTATCAATAGTTGTCTCTGGACTGTGAGCCAACGGGTGATTTTTTCCCTTTATTTTTGTCTGGATTTTGCAAATTCCTAGAAAAAGTGTTTGTTACCCTTATAACCAGAGACAAAAAGTTAAGAAAGTAATTTTAAAAGTCTGTGGTGAGAAAGCTCAATGTCCAGAGGGCCTGAACCATGCTTGCCCCATGTGGCATTTTCACAAATGGACCACTTCAAAGGAAACTAAGATGGGATGACTATTAATGTCTTGTTCACACTTTCCAAACCAGGCTCTCATCTTCACAGTGGAAGAGGCTTCTAAATGCCAATGAACTTTCACAGGTGGCATTCCTGTTGCAATGCACACAGCCTTCCTTTGCTCCTGGTTCATGCCATACTGTCCCTTCTCATGCCTTCCTTCACACCAGCAGTTTAGCCTTTCTGAGGTTCATGGACCCCTTTGAGAACATCACAAATGCTATGCCAGGGGAAAATGCACAGGCACAGTACTTTGCATTCAATTTCTTAAGGTTCCTGGGCCCTGGTAGCCCATCACCACTGATTAAGAACACCCAAGTGAGGGCAACAAATTTAGGAATGTATAAACACTTCAGGTGTGTAGACTATTTTGAGAAAAACTGACATGTACAAATTCGAAGCCGTAAGTCAAGGAAATCGGTGAATAATTACGGGTGTTACATATGTAGTTTCTGCTGTGCCAAGGAATTTACATTAGGATATCTATAAATAGCAAACCCATACAGTGTGCTTGAATCATGCTGCTGCATACCCGAATGCTAAGCCTTCACGGAGTGCCCATAGTGTAGAGCAACAGGCCCGATTCACCAGGTTTAATACCAGTTTCACTCTAGTGCGGCTACACTCATGTTCAGTATTCGAGGTCACCTTTGAAGGCCACTACTACATATCACATGGGTATTTAATGATGAATGATGGACAATGATGAGACACACAGACACTTCAGTCAGTAGAGAGGTGGCATGTGTGTTGGGGTTGTGAGATGGCTTTGCCGCTGATCATCTGTGTTAGATATGGCCCACCTCCTTATGTCAGGAAGGAAGTGGATAAACACTGATGGGAGTCTTTCCACTGCACTGAGTTGAGAAGGCCTTTAAGTCATCTCAACTCTTCCTTAACGATGATCTTGGAAGGGAGGCTTTTGCCCCATTTCCAACTAAATTTTAGAAAAGGGACACGCTTGCCCCAGATTAAACATTTATCAGAAAAAAATTAAAATTAAATAAAAATAATGCAAGGCTCTCTGTCTTGGATTACCATCTTTGAAGGTTGATTTCCGAGGCCGGGATTTGGCCAGTGCCCAGCTTCCCTTAAACAGAGAAATACTTAGCTGTCGTTTGATCCTGCTCGGTTGTCAGTGGCTTCCAGGGACGTGTGTCAAGGGAGACAAGGATGGGGTTTTTCTCGGCTCCATCTGACCTGCCTTCCAAACCGGAGTCCCCTTTCCTTCACCCCTGTACAGAGACTGCTCCGCATTGTAAAGATGTCCTGCAACTCACTAGGAGACCTGCGTACAGGGCGGCAAGCCCCGCACCTGAAAATCCCCGCAATACAAACTCCATCTTAACGGTTTCCAGGGCAGGCTGAGATGCCATTTGGCATCTCCTGCCCAGCAGCCGCATTGTAGTTGATCCTCTTCCAAGATTTCCAAACATGTGCCCGGCACCCAGGAGAGTTTCGGAGGACGAGTAACAGTGACAGAGTGCTGCGGGGTTGCTAGTGTATCAGCGTAACTCGTAAGAGCAAGTGTAAGTTCCCGAGTGTGAACTTCCACAGGAGGTGGCACCAACTTTCCCGCGAACGCGGCCCTGCCCTGATACGCGCCGGGTCTGAGGTTGGCGACGAGCCGTTAAACCATGGGGTTCTGAGACCCTTGGGACGCTGACGACCTCCGCTGGCCCGCCAAGGCCCGGCTTTTCTGGGGGAGTGTCGCTCTGTCCATCCCTCAGCCTCCCAGCCGCCTAATCTCTGCGTACGCCCTGGGCACCGGCGGGGTCCCAGCACCGGGTAGCCGCGCCCCGCCGCGCAGGACACGCGCGCGCCCCGAGCCCCTCGTGCGCCGCCCGCGCCCGGAGAGCCTCGCTTCCGCCGTGCGCCCCGCGTGCGCCCCCGGCTCTGCTACCCGCGAGCGCCCGGCTCCGCGCGGGGGAAGGGCGCATGCACGCGCCGCCCGTTCTCCCGTCCTGGGGGCGCCCAGAGCCCCAGCCTGGTGGGGACGGTCTGGCCTCGGCGCCAGCGCCCTTCGGAGGAAGCCAGCGGCCCGACGCGGGAAGGAGCGAGCGGGGGCCCCCCGGGCGAGAGCGCGCCGTACCTTGGACTCCTGGCTGCCGGTGGACGCAGGGGAGGGCGGCTGCCCGTCCACGCCGTCCTCGCGGGCGCCGCTCGGAGGGATCATCGCGGCGGCGAGGGAACCGCGCGGCTCCCGGGGACCCGCAGGCTCGCCCTCCTCAGCTCTGCGCCGCGCGCACTCCCATCCCGGCCCGGCCCGGCCCTCCGCCTCGCCTCCCGCGCCCGCGGCCACCTCGGCGGCGGCGGCAGGCGGCGACGGGCCCCGGGCGGCGGGCAGGGCTGGGCGGGGGCCGGCCCGGGGGAGGGGGCGGGGAGGCCGGGGCGGGGCGCGCGGCGGGGCGGGTCATCCCCGAGGGCGACAGTGGGAACCAGACCGAACGCGAACAGAAACCCGTGGATGAGTCAGCCTGGAGGGACCACCGGCCCCAACTCCCTCCTTCCTAAGGGAGACAGTGACTTAGCCGAGCTATTTATAGGTCAGTGACGAAGGCAGGGACCGGAGCTGGGGTTCCCTGGCCTGAGGGTACTCCACTTTCCTCCACTCATCTGTGGGCCAGAACAGAGAAGCTGGCACTGTGTTGTCTGCATCCTCATTTTGTTGTGCATGTATGTGCTAAATCCTTAAAGGTTTTGCCTTATTTAATAGGGTTGGGCACTGTCACTTGCATTTTATAGATAAGACTGACGTTCTAGGGAGGCTTAAGTAATTCGGTCTAAATCATTGAACTATACATGCTGGAACTGACATTGAAACCCATTTTGGTTTCAAAATCCATGATTTGTGGACCATAGAGCCTCAAATCGAGGCCAGATCTTCATAGCTGAGGAGCAACTGGGTGTTGCAGTTCAGCAAGGAGTTCAGGGCTGTTCACAGGACAAACCAGTCTGCCTTAACAAATCTTTTCAAAACATAGAGTTATTCCTACAGGAAAAAGGGGCAGAAGGATCCAGTATTGTTGAAGACGCAACCACAGGATGCATGGAAAGGAAATACATTTGGATATTTAAAAGACTTTTTTCTTTCATGAATACAAAGCTCCCCTCTTAATTTTCTAACAAAAAATTATAACCTTGTGTTCAGATTCCTTGATTACCTGTACATGTTTGCAAGGCCAGCTTCAGGGGTATGCAACCTGAGCAGTCACACGGAGCCCCACACTTGGTTGAAAGATTTTCTGTTAACATCTTGAAATTCCTAACGATATTTGAACAAGGGGCCCTGCACTTCCATTTTGCACTGGACCCTGTGAATTATGTATCTGGTGCTACATGTCAGTCTTAGTCCATTTCCTTCCCATGTCCTTTGGGAAGAACCCATTACTCTCTCCATCCTGGCATCAACTGAAAGCTCCTGCTCGTAGTGCCAGCCTCTAATGGGGCAATCACCTCTCAGAGTGGCTAACCCAAATGGCCACAGCTTTTTCTTCCTTAAAACACAATTCCTGATTACTCGATAGCTGAAGAAGTTCTACAGCCTAAGTCACAACAGTAGCGAGGGGAGCGCACAAGAGAGCAGCAGTATCAGTGCGTCTTTGCCAAGCATCTCTTCTGTGCCAGACACTGTGCTGGAAAAAATAGATGACAGAGCAACATAGCTTAAGTCTATTATGCTGGAATTTGGAGCCTGGTGAGGGAGATGAATATCAATTAAATCACACATGCACATGCGCACACACCACACACACACACACACACACACACACTTTTCATGAACTGTGATGAGGAAAAACACAGGGCTCTAAATGAGTGTGTGCAGATGCAAGGCCTGAACTCTGGTGAGGCCAGAGAAGTGTACTCTGAGAAAGTGAAGCCCCGCCAGGATCTGTGTGCAATTCTAATCTCAGTGGGTGAGCACATCACACCTTACAACAAGATTTTTCTTTTAAGAATTGAAGAGCAGCTGTAAGATATCACCCTTCATTTTAGTAAATGCTTAGCTCTGATTAATGATAGTCATTAGCCAACAGTATAAGTTTAAATGTTGTCCCCCTGAAATAAATTTTAAAGAAGCTAGCACATCCTTCCTCCTCACACTACCCTTGTCCTAGTTACTGAAATCCTTGATCTGATAAGCAACAGCTACCTTTCCTAGGGAATTGTGGAATTACCTATGGTTGTTAAAGCTAATCAAGTCTTTGCTCACGCATTTCACATAAACCCCTTCTTTCCCATGTTTCTTATCTAGCTATATTCTCTTACTCTTCAAAACACATCTGTAAACATTTATTACTCTTGAAATCTCCTTCCTTGATGCCTTTGGTCTGACTGAGATTCTCAAGCTTGTGCTCTGTTCTCATGGCATCCTTCCCTAAGTAATCGGGGAAGCTCCCTGTCCTCCCCCTGGGCTATGAACTCCACTGGGGCAGGGACCACAGCCGGCTCCTGTTGTCCCCTCAATCCCTGACATGGTGTTTGCTCACAAGATGAAGAAGGAGGGGAAGGCTGCTGCCTCTGTAGTCCCCCTAAGCTCTCAGATGGCCAAGGAACTTGCTACTCCAAGTGCCTACCACACAGAGTGAAGAGAGATGCTCATAAAACACACTGGGATTTAAAATCAAACAAGCTCCTTGTTATGGAGGATTTTTGCCTCCATTAGCTTAAGAGAGGATCTTAAACTGAGTTCATAGCTATCTGTGAACATGGGTTCATTATCTGGATGGAGGTAAGGGGGTTGCCAAAAGGAAATTAGGGTCACAGCTCATCTCTGGGAGCAGGAGTCGGGGTGGGCGGAAGGCTGCTTGTCCAGGTCTGTGGGGAGAGGGCCACTGGCAGAAAGGGGTGGCGCTGTATTCCTGTAGGCTGCCCTGAGGCACTGCTGCTTTGGGAACAGATGGCCAGGCCTGATTCTAGCTCCTGGGGGATGAGATCCCCTCCACATGGTCACGAGAGACAGCCCTAACCTGGTACTGAGAGGCATTGACATATTGGCAGCATGCCTGGGGGCAGTGGAAAAGACTGATGTCTCCATGTGCTGGAGCTCAGTGGATGGGTGACTAGTGAAGTGATCCCTTGAGACACCTGGCCCCGTGCGAGATCCCCCTCAGGACTCACAGTCACACTGGTGTGAGACCCCACAGAGGCCTGGAGGTCCTTCATCAGAAGCTGCAGTGGTGTTTTAGGTATGGCTATCGAGATGACTGCATTTCTCCTGTCAGCTGGTGAAGCCCGTGAAAGTTCAGGATGCAGATGACCATTCTGAGGTCAGAGCCCATAGTGGGGCCCTGGGACTTTGTGGATTCCCTTCATGGTCCACTTCTCTCTGGTCTTCGGTTAAATACCAAGAGAGCAGAAGTGTGATGTGCACAGGAACCTACCTGCACCAATGTGAGCAGGAAGCTCCCATTCTGGTTCACTGACTCCTCCAGTAGTCTGTAAAGATGGCTTTTGCTGGTCGAGTGCTGCTGCCTTTTGTGGTAACACTGCTGAGCAGAAGAGTGTGTGTGGCTTCCGACCCTCTCCCATTGCTCTGCTCCAAGTTTGGATAAGAAGATGGGACTTCACTCTATGGACTTTGGCTTCTTCTGGAGACATTCGGTAGAAAGACACGATCAAGGCTGTTTAATAAAACAGCCATACTTAGGAAGGATCCAAAGAAGAATAGCAAGGAAAGGAAGAGAGAAGATAATCAGAATGATGTGGGATGGAGAAGTGACAAGCCTGAAGGAGAGACATTCTCTACAAAGGGACGGTTCTCAAGGTCTGGTGCATCACGTGGTCATGGATAAGGGACTGTATGAGAAGAGGCTAGGGCTTGGCAATTAGATGGTTGGAAACAATAACAGCTAACATGTGTTGGTCTTCTATTATGTGATGGACATTTTCTATATGTTATTTAATCTTTACAAACCTTAACAAGGTAATTATCTTAGGTTTCACGGTGAGTGTGGGAACAAGAAGTGGAACTCAGAGACAGTCTGCTCCTGGGCCAAGTTTTGGCCACTCTGACTTCTGTCCCCTAGACATTGGTAAAGAGGCAGCAGCCCTTAACATGAAGAATTGAATCAACATGCAAATTGAGAGACAGATGCATAACAGAAGACACCAGGGGAATCCTCAAAAAATGAAGAGCTACCCACCCCATTCTTTTATCTTAAAAGTAAATAATAATCAGATCCACACATTCAAGGTGATAACCAGAAAGACACTAGGCAGAGCCACTACCTGCTGTCACTCAGCCTTTAAAGGAATATTGGGGTTCCCAGCATTAGCTGTCACCTCCACACTCTGGACGGTTGGACCTGTCTTTAAGCCCAGAGAACTTAAATCTTTTGCCCAAAGTCTGTAGCCAACAACGTCTGCCTCTACTTTGAGCAACTGTTAATGCCCTCATTTAAAAAATGCACTTAAAGGCAACAAGATCTTAGACAACTGACTTGATTTGGAGCCTCAGTTTCCTCAGGTCTAAAAGGAGATTAATCCTTACTTTATAGAGTTTCTTTAAGGGTTAGAGTGTTAAATGCCTGGTCAAGGTGGGCCTGAAGATTATTGTTGTCATTCTTTGTTGTTTTATTGTCACTAGTCAATATATTTGATCTTAGTCAAATATATTTGCTTTGAGTTAGGTTTTATGTTCATTCAGCTGAATGCATATACAGTAGCCAAAGTGGGTGTCTTTACATTTCCAAACTGGTTTCAAGCTCCTCTCTAGAGTTCAGATGCAGCAAATACCTAAAATTTCTTCTAAATTTTGATCCTTTGATTAATAATTTGCATTTAACTTTACATATACTCATCTGTGAGTTCAGAGTAACAGTCTAAGAGGGACATAATCCAGCTTCCCTGGCCTTTCTGCTCCCCAGAAACATTGGTTTCTTCCCCCTTGCAGCTGTGGTGCCTGTCGCCATTCCCTGCATCTGCAACACCCCCACCACCCTTCTCCACTGACACCTCTGGTTGCCTTGGACCTCAGCTCCTACCATCTGACGACATCCTGTGTCCTTTCCTTATGTAGTGTCCTCTAGAATATAAGCTCCACGAGACCTTATTGCTCTTCTTCATTATACATCTCTGGTGGTTAGGTGTGCAGCTAACAGGTGCTCAGTGAATATTTGCTAAATGGACAAAAGAAAAAATAATCCTGGAGAGGAACTTACAGGTCTAACAAAACTTTCATACAGGGGAAAATTGAAAACTCAGATAGGTTAAATACTTGTCTAAAGTCAATTAATCTTTAGACAAGTGGCGTCATGAACCACTGTCTGTTTCCCTGCTCATCAATCCCACCAGTGACTGATTTATGCAGCTTTGCCATATATGAC